GTAATTTTTTTATTAAAATTCTCCAAGCTCATATTTAAATTATTAGATTAATTCTTTTTTTATTTTCTATTGCTTCATTAAATTATATTTTTAATAAATCTTGTTTACCTTATAAGTCTTTTTATAAATTATATAATTTTAATTCCCATATTTAATTTTCAATAATAAATTTATTAACAATCTAAAAAATAAAAATATATATATTATTAGTTACAAAAAGTAAATATACATAATATAAATAAATAAATAAATAAATATATAAATAAATTTATATAAAATATATATATATATATATATATATATTCTTTTTTTTATTTATACATATATTTTATTTTCAATTTATTTTATTTATTTTTATATTTACTTATATGTTTATTTCTTCATTTATATTTTTATTTATTATATACAATCTTTTCTTAATTATTTTATTTACTCTATATTTTTTTATTTATTATTTTAAATTTAATTATTAAATTCAAAAATCTCTGTTTCTACTTTTTTATTTAAATTATAAAATTATTCTTTATTAATTTTAACTTATTAATCCATTTCATTTATTTTTTTTTATAACTAATTGTTTATATCTTCTTTCTATTTTTTAATTTTTTCTATTAAATCCTTTTTTAATATATCTATACTATTTTTCATTTTATTATTTTATTATTCTTCTGAAATTTAAATTTTATCATTAATTATATTTTTTATTTATTAAAAGTTTTTATCGTTTGTATCTTAAATAAGCTTAGATAATTATTTTTCTATTTAATGAAGATTTTCATTAAGTTTATTTTCTGTTTCCTATATTAAAAACTCCAAACTTTATTAAATTTTTTAAGTATGTTCTTATAAATTATTTAACATTTATTCATTCATTTTTTAAAAAGAATTAAATTCTTGCCTCAAATCTTTATATTTAGATAAATTTTCTTTTTTTTCTTTATTTATTTCATATTTCAAACCTTTCATTGCATTCGAAATTTCCTAAAAAATTTCCAAATTTTTCTTCTCAAAAGAATCTTTCCATAATTCACTTTTTTATTAATTTTCTATTAATTATTTTTCTAGTATTTATTCTATTTTTTATTAATTTTTTGCATTTGTTCATTAAGAAATTTAATTTTAAATAATATTAGAATTTTCTTAAAAACCTTAACATGTTTAATCACATTTATTATTTATTTATATACACTAACTTTCAATAAAAGTTAATTTGTTTTCACAATTTTCTTTTATTTAATCTATTTTTAACTAAAGCCTTTTTTTATTTTTATTAATACAAATATATAAAGTTATATATAAATATCTTTTTTTTTTATTAATATATATATATATATATATATATAAAAAATATTTTTTTATATAAATATATATATATATATATTTATATATATTTAAATAAAAAAATATTTTTTATATATATATAACTTTTTATATTTTCAGAAAATAATGTTTAAGTTTAAGCTAAATTAGCTTCCATTTCTTCTTTATTGAATTTCACTATTTAATTTATCGTATTAATACTTTCATGTAATTATTTAATAAATTTTTATTCTCCTTATATTATTTATATTTCATCATTTCTCTAATATATAGGTATTTTTAAAACAAATTAAATAAAAAATATACTATTTCATCTTTTAAATTAAACATTTTTTATTCTAAATTTTATTTATTTTCGAATTCTAATCTTAGTCTTTTTTCCATTTCAATTTCTATTCTCCTTTCTATTTACTAAATTAAATTTTTCAAATAATCATTTTCTCCTAGTAGTTTTTCCATTTTAACACTAAACAATATAATATAAATTTTTTATATATATAAAATAAAAAGTACTCTTCAAGTTATTTAATTTATTTTTTGTGTATTGTTGCTTCCTCTAGTACATTTTCTTATGATTTTTAAAGTTTTTAATAAAACTCTTTTTCTTATTAAATAAGTTTTTGATTAATTTCAATATAATTTTATTATAAATTATTATATTGATTTTCCCTAGCTTTTAATTCTTATAAAATCTATTCTTTTAATAAACCCATTTAATTATATTAAAAATCATATTTATTTTTTAGTTCATTTTTATTATTTTATAAAGGTATATTTTGTATTAAAACCTTAATTTTTTTTTATTTATTAGAAATAAAAAAAAAATAACTTAAATTTATTCTTAGTTTTTTTAAAGTTTTTAATTTTCATAATTAAGTTCTTCTATTTTTCTCTACATTTCTAATATAATTTAATTATTTTAATCATTACTTTTTCTCATCGTATCTTTTATTATTTAATATTAATCGTTTATTATATTTTGTTTTTATATGTTTTATTTCCAAAGACTTGATTCTTTATCTTCTATTCTTTTAAAATTTTAAATAAATCTATTTGGAGTCTCTTCCAAAATCTAATTTACCCTTCTTTCAATATCTCCTTTAAAATTAATAAACATACTTTCTAAATCATTAATTCTATTAAATATATATATATATATATATAGTGTGATTATATTTATTTTAAGAAATTAAACCTTTAATTTGTTTATAATTAACTAATATTATTTTCTATTTATTTACTAAAATTATTACTTTAAGATTTTAATGGGGCTAAACTTTAAAATGAAGAAACTCCTAAATTCTCTCTATTTTTATAAGTTTTTTTATTTTTTTTATTATTTAAATAAAAAATAAAACCTAGAATTAGTAGTTTTTAATTATCCTATATTAGTTGGTTATGTTATAGATTTAAAATTTTATTGTTATAAATATTATTATTGATTTATTTCATTATTATTTGATTCTGTTGATGCGAAATTTCCTACTTTCTTTAATAAATAATATTTAAATTATAATTAAATTTTAATTACTATGGCTGGTAATACTATTTTCTTATCTATTTGACTTTTATATCTTTTATATTTAGATGATGAATTATTTAGATTATCGTTTTAAAACATTAACATTTATTATAACAAAAATTATTTAATTTTTATTTTATTATTTAATTGGCAGTTTTTTAAATAAAAGTAAATTAAAACAAAACAAATCGAAATATATTAACTAAAAATTTAAGTTTTTAGTATTTTTATTTATATATAAAAAAATTATATATATTATTTAAAAAAAAAAACAAAACAAAATATTGTCTAGATAAAAATAAATAAGAAAAATTCAAACAACCAAAAAAAATTTTTTTATATATATATTTTTTTAAAAAAATAAAGAAAATTACATTATAAATAATAAAAACGCATATAACATACTTTTTATTTATTTATTGAAAATTATTTATCTTGCAAAATACATAAACAAAATTTTAAATAAAAAAATAAAATTATTATTAAACGATTTCATCTTCTTGCAGGAGCTTTTTTAGCTTTTTTAGGTTTTTTTGCATCTTTTTAATTTTATTAACGCTTTTGTACTTTAGGGGGTTCATCTACTAATAAAGTGTCTATTGGTAATGCTTCAGGTAATAAAAAGTATCTAATATTATTTCCTCTTATGGTTAAATGATCTAAACTAACTGGATTTTTTCCTTTTATGGTAAGTTTAACTTTCGATAAATGTGTATTCATTCTAATATCTACGCCTATAATAGAACCTGTAATTTAAGTTCCATTTTTTAGTTCAATAGTAACAGTTTAATTTTTTAATTTCATCAAAAATCTAACTAATTTCATTTTTATTAATTTTTAAAGAATATTTTTTTTTTTTTTGATAAATTAATTTATTAATTGTTTTATATAAAAAAAACAAAAAAAAATAAGATATATATTTATTAATTATTTATTAAAAAAGTTATATATATATATAAATATATTATATAAATATTAATAAATATAAATAAATATATTATTATATTTATATATATGAAATTTTATATATATATATATAACTTTTATTCATATTTAATAAATAGCCTAAAATTAAAATAAGATTATATATATAAAATAAAATTTATTTATATTTTATAATATTAATTAAGGAAATTATCTTTAATAAAATAAGCAAATATATACTTAATAATGTTTAATTTTATTTTATAAATGAATATTTTAATAAAAAATAAACCAAAAGTTTATTTTTAACACTTTAAATCGATATAATATTCAATTGATGAAATAAAAACTCTAAAAATGAAAAATAAAAAATTAGATTATAAATTTCTTTTATATAAAAATAATTATCTATTAATTTTATTTGGATTTAAAAATTTATTTTAAATAAAATATTAAAATATACTATTAAAAATATACAATTTAGACTTGTATATTCAATTAACTATTATTTAAAATTAAAAAAGAACATAACACATATTGAATGAATAAAATCAGTGTAAGAGTGTAAGGACAATAAAGAAAAATTATTTAATATTAATAATAAATATAAATAAAATAATCATATAAATTTTTATTTTTATTAAAACCAGAATTTTACGAAAAGGAATTTAAATAATAAATAAACTGCCTTATATAATTGACAAATTGAAAATCAAATATACTAAATAAATTTATAAATTTTGTTATGCTTTTATATTAATTATTTTTTAGAATAAAAGGCCTTTTTTTATATAGACTAATATCTATAAAGACTGGGAATTTTTAATAATTTTAATGATACTAAAAAATACTTAAATAAATTAGAACTAAAAAATTTTAATTATATGAAATACAAAAAATAAAATATACAATATTTAATACAAAACTCTTTATGATTAAGCCTTAAGAAAGTAAAATACTGAACACTTTAAATTAATTAATGAGAAAAATAAAAAAATAAATATATATTATTTTAATTGTTTGAAAGTTTTTTAGTTTTTACTCACAAATAAATTCGATAAAGCCTTATAAAAATAAAGGAAGCACAAATTAAGTGAAAAAAAAAAAAAAAAAAACTCACTTGATGTTTAATCAAGAAGGGTTAGTATTATTATTTAATATAGTTAAAATTTCATTTTAATTATAACAATAATATTATAATTTAATAAAAACAAATAATTAATGTTTTTTATTGTTTTCCACCCTCCCTCCATAACAATAAATATAAGGAAAACATTATTTTATTTTATAAATTTATAAAGTGTACATACATAAATATTCAATAAAAATAAAATAAAATAATAATTAATTTAAATAAATTATAAAATAAAAAAAAATTAGGATATTATTTTTAATATATATAAATTACAATATATTTTTATATTTTATCTGTAAATATAATATATATGAATTAATAATAAATATATATATAAAATAAAACAAAAATTATTATAATATTTATTTTTATAACAAAAAACTCAAATCTTTTCCTCATATCTATTAATCATATTAATAAACTTCTTTGATTCATAAACTGGATTAAACAATTTAATTTTCTAAATAAAAGTTTTATCTCTGAATACTCCTTAATTATTTTCAGCTTTCGTAAGTAATAAATACCTAAATTCATTAAACTAAGTTTAATTAAGTAATTTCTTTTTTCCATCCACATCATTATTACTATCAAGTATTCTAAATTCATTAGCTGAACAACCTAAAAAATAAAGAATAAAAATACAAATATAAAAATAAAAATTTATATATATATAAATATAAATATAAATTTATATATATATATATATATATATATATATATATATATATATATATATTATTTTAATTACCAAGTATTTATTTACAAACATCATCATAAGCATTTACCCATATTTATGCACTTGAATCTGCAATAAGGAAAGTAGCAATATATTTCGATTCAGTATTTTAAAAGTGTTAAGCACAGCTTTAGCAATACCACTATTCTCCATCTTAGACTACTTTTTTTTAACATTTAGTGCATGAATTATAGTACAAAGGAGATTCTTTTACACGAATAATATATCCTCTAAATTCAGTCCAAATCTTAAACTGATCATTTATTTCATCATTTGCTTTAGCCATATTTATTTTATCGTTTAGTTGTTAGATATTTTTTTCTATTGATAATATATTGTTTTATTTACTTTCAGTATATTTTGCTTAAGATATGTTTATTAATTCACTACTTTCGTAATTTTAGGTGTATTTTTTAAATCGCTCACTTCTTTATAATGAATGGGGTTCGGATTTGCTAATATTTAAGTACTATATGTATTTTGGAGGAATTTATTTTAGTTATATTCACCTATTCTTGCACTTTTAATTAATAAAATATCCCCATTATTATAATTTTATTAGTCAGCATCTTCTCCCCATATTTAGAATTCAATTTCAATCCCAGATTCATCGAAAATAAAGAAATCTTTTTTGATTTTTTATTCTTTAGTTTAAGTCGTGATAATTTTTCTTTCTTGAGATTTTATCATACAAATTAAATCTATTTAATCTCCTTTGTTCATTAATTGGACTTATTTTAAAAGCTATCTTTGGATTTTTACTTAGGTTATTCTTTCATCTTCTACTATTGGAAATACTTAAGTTTCTTTATTTGCTGTCATTTAATTTGATCCTTTATTACTTTTTTTTGATTTATGTATGAAATATATATATATTTATATAAAAAAATGTTCATATTTACTATTATTAGTTCGTGTTTATTTATATCTTTCCATTTTAAAAAATGTAAGTGTTTCCTTATTTGATTAAATCGTAATATTTTTTGGCTTCATTTTCAAAAAATGTGATAGTCATTTCTTCATCTTTTATATCTATTACATCTATACTGAATAATACTCCACCTTAGCCATTTGTTTTTTTTGACTTTGGAAGTTTCTCATGTTTTATTTTTTAGTTACACGGGCTTTAAATTTAAATTATCCTATAAAAGGATAAAGTTCACATATATCCATAAAATCAAGATCATTAAATTATATATCCATTTTTATTTTATATTTTTAAAAAAGGTATTTTTATTTATATTTATCTTTATTAGAAATATTTTATTTTTTTGTATTTTTATATTGAGTTTTCTTTTTCTTTATTTGGGCGGAAAAATATTAGTTTTTAATATATTTTAAAGAAATTATTATAATATTTTAAATTTCAAAATTATTTTTAAATCTTTAATTTTAATAAAAATAAATTTATAAGTTATTATATATATAAATAAATAAATATATAAATATATATATATATAATTAAAAAAAAAATATTTTTTATATTATATATAAAAATAATAATATTAAATTACATATTTATATATATATAAGCAAATATCTTATAGTTTTTGTATTTTCTATAAATTATTAAAAATTTTTATAATCCATAATTCTCTAAATAAAGGCCAACAGCTTATGTCCTTTGTTAAAAAGTTTAATAATAATAATACTATTTTAAACATATAGAAATTAACTTTTATTAAATTCCTATATTTTTAAAGCATTTTTTAAAAAAAATCATCAATAGTGTATATTCTAAGATACTCCCCCCCACCTCTATTTATTTATTTTTAGCCAAAAAAGAAACAAAATTATTTTTAACATCTTTCCCCGATCATTTAATCATTAATCACCTATTAAAATATTATTAAATTTCCCAAAGATAGCAACATTAAAAAGTATAGTATACAATCTTTATATTAAAAATATTTTTTTAAAAATAATAATTATTATTTACTCTTGTCTAAATTAAATATAATAACTTCTTTTATCCTTTAAATCTTTTACAATACACATTACTTTCAGTATGTAAAGTTTTTTTTTTTTTTTTTTTTTTTCAAAGTTAAAAAAGTCTCAAAATTGTCTTAAGTATTAATACTTAAACCTATAAATCAAATTAAAAATATAAAAATACTTTAAAATTCAATTTTTCCTTTATAAAATTATATTTTTATTAAGAATTTTAAATAAATATAGGGTAATTTATATTAATTTTTCTTATGAGAAATAATTAACTTTAGTTTTTTTTTTATATTTTAATTTTTGTAATTTTCATCTTCAATATATTATTTTTAATTATTAATATTTATATTTTTTTTTGAATGGTTAATATGCTTTAGATTTATATAATTCTTCTTCTTTTTTAAGTATGCATTTAAATGTCCTTTTATAAAATTATTAAAAGTGAAAACTTTTAATTTAAATTGTAATTAGTCATTTTATTTATTTAACAGTTCTATTTATAATAATAAATACTAAAAGTTATCTAATTACATTTATATTAATTTTAGTTTGCTGATATAATCTTATTTATTAAAAGTTTCTATTTAAAATTATACAATTAAATTAAAATTTTAGCTAAATCTTTAAAATATTTTAATTTTGTTTTCATTTAGAATTAATATAAATATTATTTTAAGGAAAAAATAAAATTAAAGTACATATTTATATTTATTTCAAATACTTTATTTAAATAATTAGCATTAGACACTAATATTATTAAAAAAATATCAAAAATTTAATTTTAATCTAATAGAAAATATCTTTTTTATAATTTTATAATTATAATCATCTTACTTACTATACAGCAATTTTATAATTAAATATTCAAAAAATAAATTTAATTATAAAAAAAAAATACAATTTAAATTATTTTGAAATTCAAATATTATTAATTAAATAAAAAATAATAATAATAATTACATTATATAAATGCATTAGAATTATTTATATATATGTAATAATAAATATCATTCAAACTCTTAATATTTATCAATCATATTCAAGAATTTCTTAGATTCGTTAATTGGATTAAATTCTTTAATTTTCTATATGATAGTTTTTTCTCTAATTCCATCTGCCATATTTTCTGCTTTAGTAAGAAGTAAAATTTTAAACTCAGAATTTTATACTTATTAAAGTAATTTTTTTTTACTTTCTATATCATTATTTTTATCCAAAATTCTAAATTCATCAGCTGAGCATCCTTATAATTTAAAAATTAAATATATATATAGATAAATATATATATATAAATATATTATATATATATATATATATATTTATATATATATATTATTTTTAATTTTTTTTTATTTTACCCAAAATTTCTCTAGCTACTTCATCATAAGCATTAACCCATATTTATCCACTTGCATCTCCAATACATATACTAGAAATATACCTAGCTTATGGTTCACTTCTGTTCTCTAAACAACTTTAACAATACCAACTATCTCCTTCTTCTCTAATTTTCTTTAGGCATTTTGGACAGGCATTATAATATAAAGGAGTGTCCTTAACTCTTAAAATAAAAGCTCTAATTTCTGTCCAAATTTTTAAGTTTTCATCCAATTGATTATTTAACTTAGCCTATGCAATTTTATCCATTAGTTGCATTATATTTTTTTCATATTATAAACTTTAATTTTCATTTTAATTTTTATTTTAAGAAATATTAGTCAACTCAATATTTTTATTATTTTTTCCCCAATTTATTAATTAAATAACATCTTTAAAACTCTAAGGATCAGGATTTGTAATAATCTAGGTCATGAATGATGACCATTAAAGGAATTTATTTCCATTATATTCACCTACTTTTCCATCTTTTATTAATAAAATATCTCCTTTATTATATGTCATTTAGTCTCCTTCATCACCCCAAATATCGAATTCTACTTCAACACCAGATTCATCGAAAATAAAAATCTCTTTTTTAGGTCTTTATTCACCTGTTTTTAATGTTATTATTTTCCTTTCTTCTTTATTAACTAAACATATAACATCTATTTTATCATTTTTAGATAACTATTAAATATCAGATAGCATTTTTCTTTCGATTTTTAATTGAGTTATTCTCTTATCTTCATCTATAGCCATTATTTATGTATCTCTAGAGGCTGTCATTTATATTTTGCCTTTTTTACTATATAAATATATATATATATATATATATTAATTTAAAAAAATATTAAATTATTACTATTAATTATTATCATTAGATTATATTTTTCCAATTTAAAAAATATAAGTATGTCCTTATTCAATTATATCAATAAATCTATCAACTTCTTATTCGAAAAAAGTAATTGACATTTCATCTTAATTTATATCTATAATATCTATTCCAAAAAGATAACTATTAGTTCCTTTTTTTGTTGTGAAATTTCTTTTTGTTCCTTTCTTAGTTACTCTGGCTTTAAATTTGAATTATTCAATATTTGGGTATAACTCAGCAATTGTAAGTAAATCGCCTTCTTCTTCATCTTAATGGAAATTATTTTAATTTTAATAATTATTGTTATTTTTCATTTATTATGGATTTTATTAAACTCTATTCTAATTGTTATTGTTGTAATTTTATTAGTTATTTTAAGGTTTCATATTGTTGTTATTATTATTATTATAATTTTAGGGTTTATTAATTGCTTAATTATACATATTATTATTATTATTATTATTTTGATTCAGATAATTATTATTATTGGGATAATTACTATTCATATTATTATAATTATTAGGATTATTGTAGTTATTATTTTGTTAATTGTTATTATATTATTGATTATAGTGTTAATTTTAAGGAATATTATTCTTATTTAAATTATTAGCATTTTAATTATTGTAGTTATTATTAGTCGGGTAATTTGTATTTTAATAAAATTATTTAATTTCACTTTTTTAATGCTCATTTTGTTATTAAGTTTGTTTTTTTAAAAAATCATTTTCTATATTTCTACTATAATATTTTGTCGGAATAATATTAGATCCTTCATGATTAATAAAATTCTATTTTTTTTAAATATATTATATATAAATATATATTTTTTAAAAAAAAATTAAATTACTTATTTTTTAAATTATTTATGTTCCAAAGGTTTTCCTATCATAGTATCAATATTAGTATAAATTATTTAATAAGATTATATGATAAGTCTTTCAGTTTAACTTTATTCTTTGTATTTTTTACACTTAATTATTGTAAATTATTACACTTAATATAAATATAAACATAAACATAGACATAAATATATAAAAAATTAAATATAAATATAAATATATATATATATATATATATATATATATATATATTTAAAAAAATTAAATATTTTTTTACATTCTTCACACCTATCAGCTGCTTCGCCTATTATATAAGCTTTTTTTACTTCGCTAAATCCATCAGATAAGCCTACCCTTTTTTTGTTTTTTAATTTCGTGTATATAATTTAATTAGAAGTTAATCTTTATATATTACTTATAAAGAGAATTGCTGACTTATTATGGCGCTTAAGTAACTTAAAAAATATATGCTTCGTCGAAATTATTCGAATTAATAATTGATTCAATTCCGTTTTTAGTTAGTTAAGTTATCATCTATTTGTTCAAATATTTTTAAGCCCAGATAAATAAATATATTTTAATAATTTTTTTTTTTTACAATTATATAATTATTAATATGTTTTTTTTTAATTATAAACAAAAATATATATTTTAAAGTATATATATATCAATATTTTTAGAGATATAACATATATTTTATCGCGCCTATTTATTATATCAAAAATAGTTAATAAATTATATATATTTTTGAAACTATATTAAAATAAATAATTAATAATAAACATATAAGCAAATTAATTAAAATACATAAATAATCTATATATAATATATATATGTTAAATTTTATTATTTATCAAAATCATTTATTCTTATTTAATATTTATTTACAAAATCAATATTTTCTTTTTTCAAAAATAATAGACAATTTACTTCCTCTTTTTCTACTAGTGTAATCCACTGTTTCTTTTCTCGGTATAGGTAAATATGTTTTAAAATTATTAAAATTCAAAGTATTTACTAAATTAACATATTAATCTTTTACCTATAAAAATTACTATTATTTATGATTTTCTTGACTAATAAATTTCGAAATATTCCCCAAACTTTTCGTTTTGGAATTTAATTTATCCATATAAATTTTATTCTTTAATTTTCTGGCCTAATCATTATCTAATTCTATTTAAATAACTTCGGAACTAACAAATCCATCTTCATTCATTCCTCCAAAAATAAATATTTTTGACTGAAAAATACTTGCACAATGGCTCGATCTTCTCAATAAAGAATCATTATTATTAAATTTTACCTTAACCCAATTAAGATTTTCTAAATTTAACATGTTAATATCATTATAATACATATTATGTGCTATATTATCGTTTTATCCGCCATGAATTACCAAAAAATTTATCTCTTAACAAAAATCCATGGAATGTGAATAACGAGGGGATGGACTTTAGCCATAAGTTTCAGGTTTTATCCATTAGAATGGTTTACTATCTGTTTTTAGAATTTTTAAATCGCCAGAAATTTCTCCTTTTGAATTTTTACCTCCAAAAAAATATATTCCTTCATATTTTATCTATTTATAAAAACATATATATATCTTAAAAATAATATAAAAAAAAGTATATACATTAGCTCCCAATTTAGTAAATTTAATTTCCTACATTTTATATAAATTAATTTTACCACATCTTTGTCCATGATAAACTGCTGCACATTTATGAAAGCATAAATCAAAATCAGTTTATAAAATTACTTCTAACCAAGATTAATTTCCTAAATTAAAAAAAAATTAAAATAAAGTAATTATATATAAATAAACCAATATCTAATATCCATAAATCTTTTAAAACTTGTTCTCTATTATTAATACCTCCATGTATAATTAAGCTTCTACCAATTAAAGCAGCTGTATGATTTCTTCTAGGTTAAATGAAACCTCCAGTACATAGCATAGCTTTCCAGTTTTAATTTTCTAAATTATAAACAAAAACATCTGAAAGTAATTATTTAGAAATAAAACTTTTGTTAATAGAAATGGTTTCTCCCCCAAAAATAATAAGATTCTTTCCATAAGAATTAATTGAATGTCCAAATCTTTAATTTTAGAAATTAATTAAATCGTGTCTTTTTAGTCTTTTCCATTAAAAATTATCTAAATATAAAAGAACAATTATGTAAATTTATATATATATATATATATATATATATATATATATATATATATATATATATATATTTTATATATATACATATTTATTTATATTTATATTTATATTTATTTTATAAAATAAAAAACATAAGTCTAATCATCTATATCTCCATATATTTCAACTCCTAATCCTCCATAAAGATAACCTTTATTTCCTATACATATAAAACCTCCATTTTCTCTATTTTCAGGTCTCCAAAGATACTAGATTGCTTTTTCAATGCAAATATTATACTCTATTTCATTTTAAATACTTAACTTTTTTGTGCTATTTTGAATTTCTTCTTCTTTTTTATCTGTGAAATTGTTTACCTATTCAATATTAACAAATTTTTTATACATTGGATATGATTTTATATTCGGCATTTGTTTTACATTTTATTAAACTTATAAATTATTTTATATTTCGGAATACTTTTCATAAATATATTAATTTAAATTGCTTTTTATGGCATTGAAAAGTCCTTTATTATGACAAAGATTCAATTAAACAAAATTTTCTGGCAAATTTTAATCTTCTTCTTCATTTTTTTCATCTACTTATTTTTCTTATATTTATATATCAGTGCTTTTATATTAAGAATTATTTTTCAACATTTTTAATATCTCCTCTTTATTTTCTTTTTTGATTTAACGAAAAGATAACATTTCATTTTTTAAATTTGATTTAAAAGGCAAATGTATTGAACCATTTTTTTTATTATTTATAGTTAGTAATTTCGTATAGTTTTCTAAAGAAAGATTGCTTATTTCTATTTTTTTATCAGTAAAAAAATTAGCTTTTAATTAATTGCATTATGGAGTTAAATATTATCTTTCAATTTTTTTTTTTTTTTTAGTATTTTAGGTTATTAATTAGCCAATACTTTAACTTTTTTTTAATATAGCTTTTTTTATGTATTTTAATATATAAATATTTATAATAATGAACTTTTATTATTAAAATTTACTAGGAAGGTTATAGTTAGGTTATTTATATAACATTTTTTAATATATAATGTTGTTATTTTTTATTAATTTAAACAAAAATAAAATTTATTTATTTTTAGTATTTATTATTACTTATTGTTTATTTTAATTATAATTATAAACATGTATATTATGAGAATAAAAATAATAAAAATAATAAAAATTTAAATTATAAATATTTATAAAAAATTAAAAACATATTTCAATATTAACATATTAGTAAAATAATATTTTTTATTTCATTATTAAAGAATATTTTGCCATCTTTTAACTGTAGATTAAAATTTCTATAATTTAATATATATATATATATAAATAAAAAATAAATTATTAAATATATTTTATTTGAATTTATATTTATTATATTTATATGACTATATTAATATTTAATTACCTTATTTTACTAAATGCTTTCATCCTTATTGTTTATATTTTGTTAGAAACTCGTATTTTATAATTGGTTATATTCTTATTCATTTACATCTTATTTATTTTATATTTATTCATTTTTTTAATGTAAAATTTAATTTTAATCAAATACTTTATTGTCTTATTATTAATTTTATTTTTAAATATTATAGTTTTATTTTGAAATTTAACTTTAATTAAAATAATTTTAATAAAATTCTTATTTTTAATTTTAATTCTAATTTAATTATTTATTTTATATTATTATATCATTTATTTATTAATTTATAATATTTTCATTTAATTTATCATTTTCTTTATTATAATCTTTGATATTAATATTTTAAATAAAAGCATCCGGTTAAATATTAAAGAATTCTTATATTTTTGAAAAATTGCATTAAATGTTCTTTAAAAAGGCAGCTTCAAATTTACTAAAAGGCAAATTAAATACATCTAAATTAATTTAAACTAAATTAAAATTAAATAAATTTAAATTTTTAAAAAGTCCTAATAAAATTTTGTTAAAATTTATCTTAATTATAAATTTTCATTTAAGAATTTATTATTAATATTATTAAACAAAGCATTATTTTTATTTTAAAATGAATCTTTTCCATTCAAAAAATCATATGATATATTATTTGATAAAACACATTCATTTATAATAAATTCTTTACGTTTTATTTTGTCTAAATTAAAATTTTCAATCTATTAAAGTTAAAAATTTTAGAAAAAAAAAAAAAATAAAAATATAATATTAAAATATAAATAAATAAATATTATTAAAAATTATATAAATAAGTATCTATATTTCTATATATTTTATAATTAAATATATATATATATATATATATATATATATTATTATTAATTATTATTT